ACACACACACACACACACACACACACACACACACACACACACACACACACACACACACACGCACACACACACACACACACACACATACACACACGTGCGTGCTTCCCAGCCCGTGTCGATCTGATCTACTCACTACTGAGGCAAAATATCTGCTGGCTGCAAAATCAGACACAGTGCCGAATGCGATGTCGCAATTTAATTTAAGCATTATTGGATTTCATCGCATTCATTTATTAATAAACAACGTCTCTTTGATGATGCCGACACCGGTAATTAGCGTATAGCGTTGTCTGGCCATAAGGTCAGTAGAATAGTGAACACATAATTAGAGGTGCCTCAGGCTTCTTCGATGGCATTTTAACTAATGGTATTCTCGATACGCAATATTTGGCCACATTGCCTATACTTTTTCTGAATTTCGAAGCAATGATTAAAATCCACGTTAAGTATGTTTTTTTTTGTGAAAAAAATTCATTTCGCATTTTCATGCATAATTATTTTTGCGCGATGAATTGATCGGATCGAAAGATTTTCGCCATCCGTTTCGTAATGATTTCAAGATTCGTGTTATTTTATATACACACAGTTTGTACAAACATTGCCGCCAGGCGATTGTGATTCTGTTGGGTCGAACGACGCTAGGACATAATTAAAGATTACGTAAGTAGACGATGTGTTATATATTATGATGTAGGCGGTATCATCGCATTTGAACCAAGAGGTCCAATATATATATATGTCCATTACATCTTCTACCTCAAAATCGATTTTGAGGTAGAAGATGTAATGGACATGCGGTGTAGTAGATTATTATAGCAGGTCTGGAGATGAAATCATTTGACGCGCGCTGCTTGCTACAATTGCAGTAATAGCGCTTCCTATAACGATTGGCAATTAAATCGGCATGGTCACGGCTTTGTGCGATGTAATTCACTAGCCGAACCCGGTAATGTCCCGTACGGACACAACCCTCAGACCTGTACACATACCCCCAAGCTATACGATTCATTCATTTCGATGCTAGTTCTCAGGCGGGAAGATGGATGGAGAATACCGGATACAGCTGTAGATGTAACGGCTTACTACCGTCTGCATGGATATCTCAGCCGTGCGTTCGCGGGGTGTGGGGGAGGGAAATATTCGATAAATTATCCGTGTATGTGCGAGGCTGTCAAACAGCGCGGAAAAGCCCGCGTATATAATTGACGTGAGAAAGTGCAGATGATGTGCTGCAATGCGCCGCGGATTGAGAGAATGTTTGGCGCTGAATTGTGTTAGTTTTCCGTCTGGCTGCGCGCACGGCGAACGTCATTACAGCCGAATTATGTTCGCGATATATATATATAAAGGGGGCACGCATCGGTTATTTTGCTGCGGCAGTGATGCTCGTCTGCGAACGAGTTCGGTGGAGTGTGCAGCGGCGTCTGCTGTAAGCACGTCTCTCCTGCTTGTTTTCATTTTGTTTGCTTTCTTTCATTCATTACCCTAGCTGCCTCCTTTCCTTGTTTTTCCGCGTTCCATTTCTCGTCAAGGCACGTGTTTCTGGGTTCGACTTGGTTTCCCCATCTCTCGCGATCACATCTGCTCTTCACTGCGGCATATTCGCCGGGCTTCTCTAACTCGTATATTAGCCCTATTTACCTCTTCTCGTCGTATCTCTCCGTCTCATCTCTCTCTCTCCCTCTCTCCTTCTCTCTCTCTCTCTCTCTCTCTCTCTCTCTCTCTCTCTCTCTCTCTCTCTCTTTCTTTCTTTCTCTCTCTCTCTCTCTCTCTCTCTCTCTCTCTTTCACACACACACAAACACTCTCTGTCTTTCTTTCTCCCTCTCTCTCTTTCTCCCGCTTTTTATTTTCTCTGCTCGCGCACCACCAACTTGCATACACGCGTACAAACACGCACGCACACATGCACGAACGCATGTGCGCACACAATCTCGCATGCGCTCACTCTCTTTCTTCTACGTCTAAGGTATCCCTTACACTGTATGTGTTAGTTGGCGCACAGTCGTCGTAATGGATTTACGAGTCGTAAGAAAGCCAATGGGGAAATCACGGGCACTTGGAGCGTTTCAATAAAATATAATGCTAAATAAATACGAAATCTATTTACTACCAAAGTCTTAATGTTTCTCTACTCTCTTTCGCCTATTATTGCCGACATTTTCCTGTAAATATATACATATATTTATGCATCAGTGTGCGGCTGCGTGCGTGCGGTGTACATGTGTGTTGCAGAGGAGCATTTGCACGGCATTTACAGGAAATTGTCGGCAATAATAGGCGAAAGTGAGTAGAGAAACATTAAGACTTTGGTAGTAAATAGATTTCGTTTAAACTTATTAACCGTTAAACTTTATTTAGTATTATATTTTATTGAAACGCTCCAAGTGCCTGTGGGAGAATTGCCGACTGCCGCCAGAGTGAGAGAGGGGGAGGAAAGAAAGCTGCTGCCAGTAGTTGTTGTCGACCAGGCCTCTAGAGTAAAGGCGCCTCCCCCCCCCTTATTCCGATACATCCGTACTTGTCGCACACGTCGCCCCCTGTTAACATGGCTTCTTCAATTTCAATATGAACGCGAAGCCCCCCCCCCTCCTCCCTTTCTCTCTTTCTCTCTCTCTCTCTCTCTCTGCTCTCAGTGTCTCTTTCTAGACAAGGATTTTTTGTCTCTCTCGTCCTTCTCTCTTCTCTTCTCTCCGTTCTCGTCGTCTGAGTCTCTCTCCTCTCTCTCTCCGTCTCTCTCTCTCTCTCAAAAACTGTCTCTTCTCTCTCTATCCTTTCCTCGTCTTTTCTCTCTGTCTCTCTCTTTACTCTGCTCTCTCTTCTATCTATAACATATAATAATAGGTTAGCATCGAAACTGATTTATTTATGAAAAATACTGACAGAGCCATGTAAAAGATACCACTGAACTCACACCCGCCCCCATCCCCCGCACCGCGCCACGCGTACGACCCGCATAACGGCGCGCGCGCACAATTTTTGCGAAAATTATATAAGAAATAACTAACGCGGCCCCGAACGCTCTTCCCCTCCGTCGCGAACTAGGCGACATAGTCAGCCTCCCCGGTTTCCCCGAAAAAGGTGAACACGAGAGACGATCTCAACAACTCGACGTCTACTTTCTGTCTATAAGGAAGGCTGAATGATGATACTTCGGCGGTTAGGAAGGCGGCCGCGCGCGAGAATCGGGAGGTTAGGCCATGCGCAGCGATGGATACTCACGCCCCCAGTCGCATAGAATCCGCCCCTCTCCCGCTCCCCCAGCCTCCTGATGCCTCCTCCTCTCCTGCTCCTCTCTTCCACGACGCACGCCTCGCTCCCTCCTCTTGCCGTCCTCCTCCTTGCCTCCTCCTCCTTACTCTTCCCTGCCTCCAGCTCCTCACTCCTCCTCCTCTCTTCCCTCTCCCTCCTCCCCCCTCCTCCTCCCTTCTGCTCCTGCCTCTCCCTGCTCCTCGCTCCTGCCTCCTTCTCCTCCTCCTCGCGCTCTCTCCCGTGCCACCTCTTCCCTCCTCCTCCTCCTCCTCTCTCCTCCTCCTTCTCTCCTCCACTCACCTCGTTGGGGCCGTCTCTCTCATCGCTGCTCCTCATCGTTCAGCTAAATGAAGTCGAGTACTGGAGAGATATACAAAGGGCAAGCGCTGTCGAATCGGCGAATCTTCACTGTGCTGGAAGCGAGCGTCTTTCTCGTCTCCGCAAGCGCTGGCGTGTGCGCGGCTTTTCGCGTGCCTTCTCGCAAGCTTCTCGCGTTTCTCCGGCTTTCTCGCGTTTCTCGCAGTTTCTCGGCGGTTTCTCGCGGTTTCCTTGGCGGCTTCGCAGTTTCTCGCGAACTTCGGTATAGCGTCGTAGAGTACGTTAGTTTGCGACTGTATCGATATTGTGTTGTTTAAGATAGAGCGAACGTCGGGTAGCAGGCGTCGCTACGACCGACCAGGCGAGCTTCGCTTCCCAGTTATAGCACGACGGCAGCCAGCAGTCCGTGATATTTATATACCGATACAAATCTTTTCCGGCGGGAATTGCGCTTATATTACTATTACAGCTGCGAGTAATCACTCCATTCGATCTCGCTCGCTCCGATCTCTCGACGACGACAGCGAACCGTGTCGATTGCGTCCGAATGCGCGTATCGAAATCGGCGTATTTATAGGAAGCGTGGGCAGAACGATAG